CTCTAATAATGAGGACTTCAGAATTTGCTTTCATCATAGCCTGATGCTTGCAAGGTTTTTCCTTCAGGAGCTTCTTTCTCAGGCTACATACTGATTGGGGTGAACTGTGGACCATGATTGCTTATACAGAGTGATGTGCCCACATGCACACACACAAGGGTCCTTGGAGGTGGTATATCATTAGTGGCCTCACTTATGTAGTCAGAACTTTCTGTTCCACTCAGTCCCACAACCATTCAATCCTAAATAAACAGAGGCTTATATTAATTAGAAACTTTTTGGCCTGTTTCTCAGGTTTATTGCTAGTTAGCTCCTACAACTTAAATTCATCCATAATTCCCATCTATGTTTAGTCATGTGGTTTGGTACCTTTTCTCAGTAAGACATTCTCATCTTGCTTCCTCTGTGTCTGACTTGCAACTGACTCTCTGCCTCTCCTCTTCCCACAATTCTCCTAGTCTGGTTGCCCTGCCTGTACTTCCTGCCTGGCTACTGGCCAATCAGCATCTATTAAACCAGTAAGAATGACAAATATTTATAGTGTACAAGAGCATTACCCCACAGCACACTGGTGATCTGGCCTCAGTTCCTACAAATCTTAGAAGGCAACCTGTCGATAAGTCTGCTCATTAGAGACACTGAAAGCAAGACTTAATGTCACTCTATTGCACAACCTGATCATCACTGGCCATGATATCCTCTACCTCTCATGTACTCCAAGGAAGCTATTGGATTTGAGACTAGTCCCATACCAATGCTAGCTGGGGGAAGGAACAGAGGCCCCAGCATCCGCAGCATTGTTTGCTTTCATGCAAATGTGAACACCTACACGCTCAAGAGCAGGGGGTGTGGGTTTGAATGTACTAATGTGTTTGGATGACTGCAAAGCAAGTAAAGTGAGCATGCAAGGGGAGTGGAAGAGAACAAAGTGACTGTGTGCAAAGGAATGTGTGCACGAGGGAAAAGGAAAGAAGTCTGTGCATGCATGGAGTGGTGAAGGCAGCCAGGTCTACGCCAAGTGCTTACCACTGGTTTCCAAAACTAAGAGGCGCTAAGCGCTAAGTGCCAAGGAAAGGACAGGAAATGCAGAAGGAAGGAGTGTGCTTTCTGATCTTTGTGCATGGGCATGAGATCAGGGTGCAGTCCCAGGAGAGATCTAAAGAGAGTAAGAGAGCTAGTGTGTCTTTTAGTTGCCAGGGAGCTTGCATGGTGCGTGAAGGGTGGTGGAGCCGCGCGAGCTGAGCATGCAAGAGGAAGAAGATATGCAGGTGTGTGTCCTCTGAAGGTGCGTGTCCACCCCCACAGGGCCCTGTGAGTCTGAGGCAGGCCACGTGCTTGGGTGACTGTGTGGGCACGTGCATGTGTGTACGTGAGCATGCGACTGTGTCAAAGGAGAACAAACACAAGTGTGTGAGCAGACGTGGGAGTACCCTGGAGGGTGTGAGCAACCTACCCGCTCTGAAGGCAGCGTGGGCTTCCTGGGTTGCTGGCGATGTCTAAAGGCATCTTCACTTCAGTAAGTATTATCTGAGAGGTCTATGTGACCTGGCTGACGCTAGCTCGGGTCTGGGTGACCGAGGCTCTGAGTGTTAGGCATGTCACTCTACTCTGAAGTTTGTGTGGGAATGAATGAGTCATCCTGGCATGGCTGGCCCTCGCTCTGCCTGTGTCTTGCCCAGCAGGGAAGGCAGTAGGGAGGGAGAGAAACTACTGAGGGCTGTATTCTTATACCATTATTATCATTACGCAACTGCTCACAGTGTCTATGGGCTCTCCTGGAGGCCCAGCACCCCCGTGCTCTTGGCCTCTATACATCCATTTGTTTTATGTCCAGGTTTCCATTGAGGTCAGCAGATCTGGATGACCAGCCTTTGTGGCAATCTGCTCCACACTGGGCTCAGGTCCACACAGTCACAATGCTAAACTACCTTCCAGTCCTTCCCCATGCTGCCTGGCTTAATTTTCATCTTTTTCTATATTCTTTCCCACTGTTTGCCACATGACGCCCCCTCTCCTTGTTTGTTGCCTGTCTTCCCTTTCCAGTGAACACTTACTTAGCATCACTGTGTGTCAGGCTAGTCTCTCAGCTCTCCATTAGTTCTCTGAGCCATCCAAAAATTCTGTATGGCACTGAAGATTAATCATGACACTTTATAGATAGCAGGTCCCGGGAGGGAAAATGAGCATCTCACTGATTAGTGACTGAGTCAGGTTTAGGACCCGAGGCCCTACTTTTTTTCCTTTAAATTAATTTATTTAATGTGCATGGATGCTTGTTTGCATATAAGTTTATGTACTACATGCATGCAATATTCATGGAGCAACCGGAGTTATAGATAACATATGGGTGCTGAGCCTAGACCCTCTGTGCTGTCACAAGGTGAGCCATCTCTCAAGGCTTGAGACCCACTCTTCATACCTAATACAGTCCTGTGGGGTAGGCACTCTCTCAGCTTAGTGTCTACTGGAGCTCCTGAATCTACTTCAGTGCCAGCCACATGCAGGTGCTTAGTTATTGGGGAATAAATGAAGACATGGCTCAATAAATGGTGGGCAAGGAGGACACAGAAGTGAGACAGACAGGGGTTTGCCTTAAAGAGCTCACGGTCATAAAAAGATGAATAATTATTACAATACCATATCTGCCTGGCAGCATGAGTGTCTAGCAGGCATATACTTTCCTGGCCCTTGGCAGACAGGGCTTTCTAGAAGAAGTAGGGCATAGAAGGAGACAGGCACAGTGACAGTGCCTGACTCCTCTCTGGGTGACAAACACACCTTCACTCTTTTTCCCTCTGTAAACAACACTGACTCTCCGGAGACGATCGGGGTAAGAACAGGGTAGTGGTGAGGACACAGGCTCAGGAATGGCTGACTGGGCCTGCCCTTGCCAAACATCATCTAGCTAAGGGAATTTGAGAAGGAAGCCCAACTTCCCTGGGCCTTGGTCCTGTCATCTGTAAGATGGGGGCAGTAAATGATACCAACTTCCTGAGTATTGCATAAGGCAGGCAATGTGCCAGCTTCAATGGAGATGACTAATCTCCTCTTCCATTCGACATTGTTTGCCGGCTCTAGGGGAGGAGATAGAATTAAACACATCGTGCTTCTTACTGTAACCTCTCTGCTGTGGCTCTGTCCCATTTTCCAGAATTGGCTCAGCACAGAGCTTGTCTGTGAACCTTCATTAAGGCAGGGACTGTGTTTCATCTCCCTCCACATCCCCAGCACCCAATACAGTATCCGAGACATGGTAGGGACTCAATAAAGGGGCTTGGGGAACAAATGAGTTACATTTCTTCTTGTGAAGATTCATATTCATATTCATGTTGCTGTTATTTCCATTTTCAGAGAATGGACTGTCCAGGTCCAGCAAGGTTAAATAACTCGCCCATAAACACAGAGGCTGGAAATAGCATAGCCAGACTCAAATGCCACATCCTATGCTCTCTTCTCCCCACCATGCTCCTCCCTGGGTTCCTATACATTATACCCTACTTTCTGTGGATATTTTCTTAGCCAGTGGGGCCATCTCTGGTTGGAGAGTCATCTCCGAATCCTATGACTCATATCTGAATCACAGAAGTGTTTAATAGTTGAAAGGAACTTCGACGTCACGGAGACCTCCCACCCACTGTGGAAATTTCCTCTCCATTGCTTGTCTTCCAATAGTTGAATGCCTCCAGCGATGGAACACTCATTTCCCTCCTCTGGAATCATCGGTTCTATGACTGGACCATTCTGAGAGTCAGAAAGTAAGTTATTCATCTTGTGGGCCCGGATCTTCTTTATGTCTATGTGTTGGGCTTACGTCATACTCCTAAAATATGCAGAACAGACCTGCTGTCCCCCAGCATACGGTGGCCCTTCAGACACTCAGTTTTCACAACCTTTGGAGAATTCTTTCTTTCTAACTAGCTCCTCTGGTCCTTGCCAGGATGCCTCCTAGGCATAGCATCCATTCCACCAGCAGCAAAAACAGGGGCTCATGGTGTGCAATGGTGCCCCTGCTGGAGGAGAGAGAACTGGGCCAAGGGCTCAGCCTGCTGGAGAAGCCAGGGAGATGGGAAGGGTGGGGCAGTGGATCCTGTAATAGATTATTTTGAAGCCACTGCTTCAGAGTCGCATCTATTTGTTTTCAATGTCAACCATAAATGTCACATGGAGACTGCATTTTTAAGCTTCTTACCTAGCGTGATCGCGAGGTTTCTCAGACACCACAAGTTTGAGGCTTCAAAGTTAGAATTCAAAAGGCTATTTTTCAAACAAACATTTGGGTGGAGGATATGAAAATGTAGGCATACAAAGGTATGGCAAATTTCCAAATGTTTCACTTGCCTTTATTTTGTAATACTGCTACAACCGACACTTGTTATAAGGAAAATAATTAAAACATATAAAAAGAAAATAAACCCCTTTCACTATCTTTTCCACTCTATTCCTTTTAATGCAGTTTATTTTGACCAGGAATATGGTCTCCAACTGGTGGGCCATGCTGCCACTCTGTGGGCACACTGCCCTGGCCGTCTCCATGGTGACAGCCATGGCAGGGGTTCAGGCAGGCAGACTCCCACATCTGTGGGCACCTGGACTCTCAGCCAGGCTTTTCTGCAGGACTGACAGGCAGCTCTGCACGCTGCTTGGCCACCCTCAGCTCAGACCCTATCACCTGGTTTAGATTTCTTCCATTGCTCCTGCGGCCTGCACTGACACATTACTGGTCAGCTGCTCTCTCTCCATGCTAAGCTCCCGTGCCAACTTTCTTCCTCCTCTCTACTTCTGCGCACACCTTCAGATGTCTGTTCTTACTCTCAGAGGAGACAGAACTGCCCTAAAAGACCTTAGGACAGAAAGACACTGAGGGTTGGAGAAACAAACCCCCATCTCTACAGAGACCTCAGAACAGCAACTTCACAGGCAACCAGACTTCTAATTCTGTGTCAGCTGGTACCCGCTTTCTCCAGTCTGAGTTCCTCGGTCATAGGAGTGCTGAGACTTACCCGACAGCCTCTCACCACAGCACATGTCCAGGGCTCCTCCCGTGGAGTCATCAGCAGCCTGGCTCTCTCTCTCACTCCTGCAGTGGGAGAGAAATGGTTGTCAGAGGATACTGGTGGTCTAGGATCAAGAGTCCCAACCTCTAACGAAGAGGAAAAGCTGTCTCCCTCAGTATTCTTTTGATTACCTCCACCTCATCAGGGGACCAAAGGGGACAAGAAGCCTCTTACGGCATCAAGATGCAGAGGAGAGGCAGGGTTTTGTAGGTGTCTGCCATATATGTCATTACCACCACCGCCGCCGCCACCATCGCCACCACCGCTGCCACCACCAGACTGGCTCACCCTTTAGAGACTCTGAAAACAGAGTCCTCACCATAATCTCATCAAACAAGGCTTCGGAGGTTTATGGGACTTGTCCAAGGTCTCATCAGAGTGAAGCTGGGTTTGAAGTTACACCGGAGAACTCTAAACTAAATGCTTTTACTCTGCTATCCTGTGCCTAAATCCCTTGTTAGTGGTGATGATGGCAGTGATGATGATAGTGGTGTATATATGTGCATGTCTGTGCCATGGTGCGCATAAAGAGAGGAAGTTCCGTGAGTCACTATGTGGGTGCTGAGAATTGAAGCCTGGTTCTCTGCAAGAACAAGTGCTCTGAACCACCCAGCCATCTATCCAGCCCCCAGAAAACCCTATTTCTAGCCCACCAGGGTACCCAATGGACCGCCCTAGGGTCTAATTTTCTTTCTTCACACAGTGATCTGGAAAAAAGCTTGCTGGAAATCAATTAGATTACAGAAAGTGTCTTCAGACTCAGCAGATCTGGAGGGCAGAACACCATGATACTTACAGAGTCCCCTGCTCTGGCAATGCAGGTGTGTGCCCCCAATGTTTCTGGCTCCATTTCATGCCTGACCCTTTGCAGTTGTGGGCTGGATGGGGGCTGGACACACAAGTCAGACTGTGCCTATCAGAGAATCATCCTTCATGTTTACTATGCATTCTGGGAGTCTGGGATCTGTGCTTCTGCGGTTGAGTCATGGCTGTGGCCATGCCCCGAGAGAAGGATTGCAGAGGACGGTAGCCTCAGAGCTCCTTAGTCCTTCCTGTGCTGGCCCTCTTGATGGAGAGCGCATCCGTTAAGACTGTGAGACAGCCAGGGGTTTCTCACGAGGTCCCCACATCTTAGTTTAACCAGTAGAACTGGCAGCTGAATAACCTTCAACGCAGACTCACTAGCACAGATTCCAAGCAGTCTCAAAGGTCAGCAGCCTCTCTGCCCACCAGCCCTGCAGTGTGGCCTCTCATCCATCCTACAGCCTCTTTTAGAGACATTACAGAATTCAATAATAAGGGCTAACAGGCCGGGATAGGGCTGACTCTTCCCACGCTGGTATCTTTCACTCTCAACTTGCACTGTCTTGTTTTATTCCCACCCCTCCCCACTCTAACTGGCAGCATCTCTGAGAATCCCGGGTCTAGAGAGCAGATGACTCAGAGACAGAGGGACACTTCTTTCAAGGTGTCCCTGCTTGCAAGTGTGATCTTTACCTAATGGTCTTGGGCATCCATTCAGTCCGGCCCTCACAATACTCCCCAACATAGTCCCAAAGTCTATCACTTACATGGCTGTGCAGTTCCCAACCTGCACACAGGATGGGACCGCCTTGGGCCAGCACCAGCTCTTCAAATTCACCACTTAACCTCCCTCGGAAAAATACTCCCATGCCATCCCGTTTCACTAAGACCAAAGACAAACATCCTGAAATGCGGCTAACTAGATTATTTCTCCTTCAGCATTGCCTTCTGTCCTTCCTGCCCTTGACCGCTACTCGGGGCGCTTTGGATAGACTCCTTCCTGCACACACCTCCGCACTCACATTGCTCGGCCTGGGTTGTGCGTTCATCTCTACTTGTTGGGATTTTTTTTTTTTTATTCAGCACTCGGCACAGTTAGGAAGTCCATTTTAATGGATGCTTGCTGGATCAACATCATTGCCAGCCGTTAGGGTATAGGCTGCAATAGGGCAACGACTTTTACTTAGCTTGCATCTTCAAAGCCCGGCTCAGTGCCTGGCTCTTAGAAGGAGGTTCAATAGACAAAGAACTGTAGAAAAAGATAATGGCACTGCAATGTGCTTCAGAAAACATCAGCTACCGTAAGCAGCCGCCATCTGAGCCACGTTATGGGTGGGTCTTTGTTAAGCCACCTGGAACCGTCCTCAACAGCTGTTGGGGAACCACAGATATTGAAGACCTTTCATTTCAGAGGAGGGCACTGAAGCACGGTGAATGCAAAAGTGGGGGCCTTAGGGATTGGGTTTGAGAACACTCTCAGTCCTGAACTTGTTTTACTATAAGAGCACCCCTAGATGGAGGATACCCCAAGACGGTGGCCCACGATGGGGCAGAAAGGTAACCAAGGCATCTGGAAGGAGACCCACAGATGACTCACACCTGCTTTCACACCCCAGCCACGTGCAGAATAGCTCAGCACTGCGTGTGTGCAGTGGACGCTATAAATAAGCTTCCTAGAAAATGACTAATTTCATAATCAGAAGAGCACTGAGAGTCGCACCTCAGCACCGCGGAGGGAAACAGAGCAAGATGTGGTTCTGCCCTGTGGTG